CCCCCAACGAAAGAAAACAAGGACTGATCTGGGGCTCTGCAGAGTCGCTGTGCTGCTTGCTTCTGTGGTGGAGTGCCCAGATTACCTGTAGCGACTGGTTCGTGACTCCAAACCAGTCTTGCTCAACTGGTCCTGTGGCGACAGTTGGTAGTTTGGTGCTGGCAATCCAGGTGAATGCAGCACTGCTCATGGGTTTGTAGTGGGGGCACATGCATTTCATTGCAACGGAGGTATGGCGAGGAAAGAGAAGTGAGGAAGGGAGGAAAGAAAAGGAGGAAGAACGGAAAAGAGGCAGGGAGAAAAGAGAAAAGACTTGAAAAAGAGTGCGGTCATCTCTCATGAACTCAAAACCGTGCTGAAGCAAGAACCTCCTCAGCTCGAAAACGTGCAGAAACAGAACTGAGTTGTTTGTTGGAGGTCAGTAGCTGTCACACCAGGGCGGCCATCCCACCAAATAAATCAGGAGCACTTCGGATGCCGCCAACTAGTGCACCGGATGCATTGCTCACACCGTTAACCACGGTCTGAACAGCAAGCCCAGGCATGTATCAGAGGTGACATGGAATAACCATCGGAGAAACGTAGAAGCAGGGTGAAAAAAATGGAGCATAAAAGCAGGGTGTCCAGTATCATGCATACCATGCTGATCAAACCCTTGTTGTGTGCCTCTTCAAACCACCACTACCAGCAAGCCTCTTCTTTGCCGAGGGCGAATGGAACTGCATGGCAAGCTTTGCCAAAGCGCCAGTGCGACCTTTTTTTTTTTTTTTTTCTGACTGGTGCTGCTAGCCATTTTGGTCCAGTGGCGCCCAGAATGCGAAGAATGCGGTATAGGTGGTAAAAAAAATAAAAAATAGCAAGGCCTTGTCTACGCCTACACCGATCTATAAGTAGTTAAGAGGGTGGGTGCAGAGTGGAGCCCTGGTTCAACTGCGACACATCATAGTCTCCAGACAGACTGAGTTACAGCTGCATACACATTCCCTGGAATAGAACGTACTGACATTGTCACTGTACCTAGACTGAAAGTTGTCCCAAATACAATACAGGTATAATGACCTGGGGTAGACGGTAGTGGCGAAGTTCATCCGATCTGTTGAGACTTTGTCAGACTCTAAGGGCCGAGCTGATGAGACCCTTTCTGCAGGTCGCTGCTCCGCATTTGCCCTTTCCAACTGGAAAGCTTGTGTCGTCCTGGTCGTCGAGGATAGAGAAAGGGAAAAAATAAGAGGAAAAGGAAAGAAAGGATATCCATCACAACTGGTATCAGCCTATTTTGTGCCAGCGGGCTGCAAACGTTCCCAGTTGTCCTGGTCGTATGGTGTACTCAGATTGGCCAGATTGCAAGAATTCAGTACCTGGTTCAAGAGGATGCAGGCCAACATGGGAAAAGGAGCATAGTCGCTGAGGGTGAGGTGTGTGATGGCATTTGGGGGGAATGCATGCAGTATAGACACGTGTTATCACTGCCCATTTCCCTGAAGCAGGTGCTTGTGCTGCGTGTACTGTGTGTGTGTGTGTGTGTGTGTGTGTGTGTGTGTGTGGAGGTGTCTGTGGAAGTGTGTGTGGAAGTGTGAGTGTGTAGGCAGGCAGGCTGGCAGTAAGGGAAAAGGAAGGCAGGTAGGCAGACGGAGAGCAGATAGGCAATAGCTAGGAACCAAGGCAAAAGTCAAGCAGGGTGGCAGGCAGCTAAGCAAGCAGCAAGGCAGGGCAGCAGGAAGCCAAGCAAGTTGGTAAGCAGCAAGCCACACTTGGCAAGCAGAAAGCCAAGCAAGTTTAGCATATGTGGGGCAACTAGGCATAAGACAACCAGGAAGGTGTGCAGGACGGCAAATAGCGGAGGTAACAAGGGACAAGATAGTTAGCTGGCAGGCAGAAAGCAAGGTAAGCAAGGCGAAGGGGAGCAGCAGGGCAACGTGCAACACGGCCGGCAGGCAAGAGTGTACTTGGGCAACAGTACAACTCTTTCTGAATCGAAAACACATCCTTATTCTATGTTAATACCAATTGAGTTAATGTTACTTTTCCCAAGTAACCAGCAACCCAGACATGCACCAACACGTATCCGTTAAGAAGATCGAGGCGGGCGATATTGCACTCACATTAAATAGAAACGATTGCTGACCGAGACTTGTGCCAACCTTGCGGATGAAGATCGAGGCGGGTGATATTTGCCGAGATCGAGGCAGGTGATGAAGGTGGGCAATACCTCACTCCAGGGATCCGACGTTTCAGTGGGATCAGAGCTGGTTCCCGCTGCATCCTCTTGGAGTCGAGACGTTGGCAAGGGAGAAGGCCGGCGGGCCAAAAAAAAAAAAAAAAAAAGTGATTAGGGTTGACTGCATGTTGAGGGCCGAGGAAGAATGGGCATAGGAGCAAGGGGGGCACGTACCTGTGATCGAGGAGGTTCATCGAGGGAACGTTCAAGGAGTGAAGTGCTTCTTTGCCCTGGCCCTGTCGCTTATGCAATTTGAAGTTTGTTCTCAATGGTACCTTCCCACGTACTTTCCTGGTGACCTCTGCGGGAAATCGATTTCTGTTGATGACATCATGTCATTTGAGTCAGCAGTCGCACGTGGTCTGCTTGTTGCTTGGTGAGTCAGAGACCGATCTCTCCGGGAGCACTTCGTGCCTAGTGTACTAGTTTTCAAAACATATATAAATTGATTTGCACAAAAATTAACACGATACGCCAAAAATGCGCCTATAGCACTAAACAAAATGGGTATTAGTTTCATCATTCTTGGAGTGGCAAATTCTGACGAAAACATAATTTCGTTTTTTGGTAGTATGAAAATAGAATTTGCCCAAAAATGAGTACCTAAACCAATCATCATATCTTTGGCCAAATATCCTACAAAAAGACTTCCAAAAGCCAAAAGTATACATCAGTGGTTCAAGTGGGACTTCGTTATGGTATGATTTTGTTCATTGTGTCAGAAGTAATGTTTTTTGTAGCTTTTTTTTGGGCTTTCTTTCATTCAAGTCTGGCGCCTACCGTAGAAATTGGAGCTATTTGGCCTCCAAAAGGTATTGATGTGTTAGATCCTTGGGGAATCCCCTTTCTAAATACTCTTATTCTACTTTCATCTGGAGCTGCTGTAACTTGGGCTCATCATGCTATATTAGCTGGTTTAAAACAACAAGCCCTTTATGGCATATTAGCCACTATTCTTCTACCAGGAAATAAATAATAAATTGGAATAAAAGAGAGTTTAAAGAACTTCTGGAGCTAAAGAAACAATTTTTGTAAAGTTTTCTTCTCTTAATTCTCTAGCTACAGGTCCAAAAACACGTGTTCCTCTTGGATTTCCATCTTGATTAATAATTACTGCTGCATGGGGGAGGTGGTTAGGGTTGCCTGCCCACCTGGGGGCCCAGTGGGACCCTAATCCCGTGTGAGTGAAAGTTTTGTGTGTGATGTAGGTCGGTCTAGGGTAG